GACGCCCTGGTTCAAGCAATTCTCCTGCCTCAGCCTCCCGAGTAGCTGGGCTTACAGGAACACGCCACCACACCCAGCTAATTTTTGTATTTTTAGTAGAGACGGGGTTTCACCATGTTGGCCAGGATGGTCTCCATCTCCTGACCTTGTGATCTGCCCACTTTGGCCTCCCGAAGTACTGGGATACAAACACGCCTGCCCCTCCATCAGACACTCTTGATGGGAATGCTTCAGGAGATGAATTTGGAGGTCAGTTTTAGTCAAGAGTACCATCTGCAATAAGCACTATGCCAAGATATTGGAGCTTAACCACCAGTTAAGTGGGTCACTAGCAAGAGAGCAGGTGAATGCCATTGGCTTGCCAACTGGAAAGACTAGGCCAGCTCTTATCCAAACTGGGGGCCAGTTGGTAGAAAGGATGTGGCAAAGGCAAAGTGAGGGTGGGTGCCCCTCACTAAAAGCAGGCACCGAACTTCTGACAACCAGGTCAAATACAATCATTCAGTGTGTCTTAAGGACTTTTTGGTGTCTACTGAGTATCTACTCATGCTTTTCAGCCCCCACCTCCTTTTAACTTATGACTCCTCAAGGATGTTTTATACATGGAATTTGGGCTTTCAATTGATGTGGTTAAAGAAAGAGAGAAAGGGAGAAGAGAGAGAGAGGGAGAGGGAAAAAAACACCCTTAGTTATATTAGAAATCTAGGCAGAACTTTCTTTTAACTGGTCCCTTCTACTTTTGTAGGCTAGACGCTTCTATAATAAGTCTCATGAAACTGTGCATCATACACAGATCTTAGTCTATGACAAAATTTCTTTGGCCTTTTTTCTTCTTGGCTGCAGATAGTAACCTATGAGCAACCTCAACACACAAGAATGAGAAGTTACTTCTGTTTTGATGTTTTTTTTTCCTAAATGATCTAAGCAAACAGGGCTATGGCAGAGAGCACATCTCACTAAGGCCAACTTGGTAGCAGGCCACCTTGATGCTATCAATTTTGCAATCCCAGCTGGTGTTTCTGTACAGTTTTAAGAGAAGGCCCTGTCCATGGCCCTTATGAACTTCCCACTGCTTGCTGAGGTGGATTAAAAGATGCAAACTCACTGAAATACGCCAAAGAATATAATGGTCTCTACAGAAGATCTGGCTGTATCATCCAACAAAAGGTTCCAGCTGTGGCAGCCATGTGGAACAAAGGGAACTCTTGGCTTAATGTGGAGTGCATGCTTCTGACGTTCCAGTTCAGGCAAGAAATAAATAAAGCTATTACAAAGCCCTTGACCAGATGTGTCTGACATAGTCTGAAACATGTTTGCACAGAAACTTCACTATCAACGTGGCTCTTTATAGCAACAGACATCTGTTCCTGAAGGCTGATGGGGTGCAGCTCATAATCACAGTGAGGACCTGATCTAGCTGGCTTCATTAAACTGCCTTTTCCCTGGCCGCTGTGGTTCTCATTAATCTGCATAGTCTTAGTCATATGTGGGTCAATGATTTATTTAACACAGAATCTAAATGCTTCTGTGTCATGGAATCAAAGTCTGTCCAATAGTCAAAGACTTGAAAATTTCCATTTGTTTTCCAGGAGCGATGGTATACTTTCCTCATAGATAACTTGACTGTGTTATGCCTGGTCACAGTTTACATCTGCCTTTGACTTATATTGTTTCTAAGGTTAGCTATTGATCACTGTTTTCACATGAATCCTTCATTACTCTAATTGGAACCATTTATAAACATATTCCTTGGACAGATGACAAAAGGATCCATGATGGACAACTTCTTATTCAAAACAGCTGCCCAATATGTAAATCAAAAGCTGTTAAACATTGTATTGAGCTGAGAACAATTATACAAGGTTCTAGCCTGTTGTGAATTAAAATAACTGCATTAGAGGTTAAAGGATTTGTAAAGGGAATCTTTCTTTTCAAGAATGCCAGTTCAAATTCAGCTCAGGTCATTGACTAGTATTAGCATGTGAAAATAATATAAAACAAATCTATCCTCTCAGCTTTATTGTTAGCAGAATGATAATACCTTCAAAAGCTCGATTTACTGCAGTCAGCCCTTTAGTTATCTGAAAACCCAAGGATTGAAAAGACCTAGCAATTAGACTTAAGGAATTACTTAGAACTGATTATAAATTTCAGGCTAGAATTGAAAAACTTTCCATAATTTTAAGCACATTGTAAGACATTTCCCTTTAAGTTATTCTAGTACCGTTTATAGGCACTGTTTCTTTTTTTCCTTTTTATCTGAAAAAAAGAGATAAAATGAAAGTTAAAACTGACTTGCTCTTCATAGAACTGTGGAAATAATACCTAGTATTTATTACTCTTTGCTATTTGTCAATTATTATTCTAAGCACTGCAACAGGTATTATATCATTTAATCCTTATAATAATTTAAAGAGGTAAAAATTATTATTCCCTTTATCTTAAAAAAACCTAAGGCCAGCAAGATTAAATACATTTTCCCAAGGCCACACAACCCATGTTCAAACCCAGAATATCCAGCTTAAGATTCTATACTGCTCTACTGTAATTTCTCCACAGGAGGCATGTTGAATGCCTCAGTCAAGTGAATTATCTGTCAAGTGAATTAATGTTGGTTACCAATCCACAATATCAGATAGATACATAGATGATTGATAGGTAGATGGAAAATATAGATGACAGGTAGATAGATGACATTAATATTTATTGAAGGCTTTTATTGCCTCCAATACCTATATTTCCTCATTTAATACCTTATTTTTATAGATAAATTTTATTAGCTCCATTTAAGATGGCTTTTATTAGCCCCATTTATTTTAGCAGGAAGATGTTGGGACACAGCTACTAAGAGAAAGAGCTCAATGTTCAATTTCTCTTACCTCGTTCTAAACTGCATTGCAAGACTGCAGCAAGTGTACAAAGCCTTTGGGAACAACTGGTATGACTGTGTAACTCTCAATTCATATGTTAGTTATATACATGATTCAGTATCTTGCGTAATTACACAAGTCGCTGATTTTGAGAAAAACATTTACATTTACTTCAGAATGTATTCTCATTACTCTATATTTTTATGTTAAGTATGTTTAGTGGATGAGAGGGAGATAAAAGGGGATTTTGTCCAGAGTTCAATTCCAGTAGTAGTCTGAAGAAATGTCAGAATTATATTTATCTTGTGAGAATCTAGGCTTGCATTACCCATTTCATCTTCTGCCTTCCTCTCACAGCAGAAGGCAGTGGGGTAATGTGGAAGAACATAAGCATTGAAGTTGATGGAATGAAGAAAATGTTCTGAATTGATTTTTTAAGTGAATACATTTGATTTTATTAACTTGATTATGTAAGGACACCATTACATTAGTCATACATGTAGCCTATTTATGTGCATAAAAATTCTCTGATAAATACTTAATTCCATCTGACAGAGTACCTCAAGGATTCAAGGGAAAAAAATTTCAACTAAGTAAAAGAAAATATTCTATCACTATTATTCTCTCTTGTCTTTCCATTGAACATATCTTTCTTTTTCTGTTTTCAGTTCTCTTCCACACTGATCATAACTCAATAGCCTAACTGAGTCCTGGGCTCTTGGCACCAATAATTAGTTCTCTCAATTCTCTTTGTAAATGATTACATTTCTATTTTTCTTTCTTCCTAAAGGCTGAGTTCTGAAGACTTAACTATGTTCATTTATTGTATATTTCGGCAGTGCCTACTGCATGTCAAACACTAAGTTTGCTAACAAAGGAGACCAAAATACCTGCCTTCAAAGAGCGGAGTAAAGGAAGAAGATAGGAAGATGACATAAATAAAACAATGTAAAAACTCTATAAAAATTTTGCCATTTTTGTTACAGAAGTTTAGGAGAGAGAAAGACCACCTGTATGGGGATATTAAAAAAGGTGTAAGGAAGGAGGTGGTCCTTAAGTCAATAGTTAAGGAATTTACTGTACCAAGCATACAAGGAAAGGGAGAGTATTCCAGGCAGTCATAGTGAATGAGAAATATCTTTTAGAGATAGATCTTCTTTTAAAAAATCATAATTTGACTTAAAATATGCATTTAGGGAGGAGATATGCAACTGTGCATTTGGAGAGAAAATTTCTGTAGTACTGTTACAGTATAAATGTGCTGACTATAAAATACTTATAATCAACTCTCAATCATTTAGTTTAAGGAGAGATTGGGTAGTAATAATGAATTAGCATACTTTGTTCATTACTGCAGATATCTCTTTTTTCTCACCTTCTAAAGTGATTATTAACTGAAATACTCAGGTTTTCAATTAATTATGTCTGGATTGAGACCCTGCTTTTTACTATCTCAATCTATTTGTTAAATATGTAATAGATAGCTTCTTATTGATATACTAGCTTCTTTTTAAATTATTATTATACTTTAAGTTCTGGGGTATACGTGAAGATTGTGCAGGATTATTACATAGGTATGACACATTTTGCCTCCACTCCTATTTTAGAAGCACCTTATCAGAAGCAAACATGCACGATACTTCTTCCTATTCCACACAAGACCTTGGTTAGCTTATTTTAATCAAATATTTCCATTTAATATAATAAATAAAATTTAAGAAGAAGGAAAGTTAAGCAAATTGGTTTTTATTGAGGACTTTCTAGGTACCAGACAGTGAGGCAGGCTCACTAAGATACATTTAAATGGACGAAGCAGCATGTAACATGGGATTTGGAGATGTAGAAATTGGTGTCAAGTCTTGTCCAGAAATTCTCTTCACCTCTTGAGGCCTCAGATTTCAAATATATAAAATGGAAATAAGATAGTGTCTAATTTCTGAGATTATGGTAAAGATTAAGGGAACTTATGTTATAGTGCCTACATAGAGAAGACGTGCCTAAAAGCAAAATGGTGTTAATTCATAAATAGTTGCATCAGTCTGCTATTTTCTCAACAATGCTACATAACAAAACATACAAACTTAGTGGCCTTCCACAATAAACACTAATTTGCTTTTTTCATTTTTTCAGGTCATCAGGGAGCCTATAAACTGAGGCTGAGTTTGACTAGCTTTTGCTCAGAGCTACAGGCTGGGTATAGATTTGCTATAACTATTTCTCATCTTCCTTGTCCTGGTCAGTGGCTAGTGAGATACATTCTTCTCATGGCAAAAGACAGAGCAGGAGAGCAAGCCCACATGTGTAGCACATTTCAAGCCACATAGATGTTAAGTCACATCTACTAACATCCATGGACCAACAGCCAAGCTGAAAAAAATGAGGAAAAAAAAAAGCAGATATTTGCTAAAAAATTATTCAATCTACCACAATTTTGGCTTATTAATCAGTTTTTAAAATTTGAACATACAATCTAAGTTATCTATAATAATCAATAACTTAACTAACTTTATAAAAACTATAAAAATAACTACAATTTGAAAGTTACCTTTAAAAAGGAGGGCTGAAAGAATCGATAACTGATTGTGAAATCATCCAAAAGTGAACAATTAATGTCCAAAGATACACAAGTAATTATATTGTGAATAACATATCCAATAAATAACTCACCAGTCTAAGCCTTTATGTGTGATGCTACATGAGAAACTTCTTTACTGTGTGTTTTGGAAAATCAACAAGAGCAGAAAACATGTGCTCAGTTTTCTGTGTGGTTATTAGTTTGAGGCCAAATGTTTTTCCATTTTTTGGTTTAATATTCACATAGTTTATTGGGCCCCTTTGTATCCATTGGCTTTACCCAATCATTTACTCATTCTCTCAAAGCGAAATTTATAAGATGCCTACTGTGTGCCGGGCTCTATGTTAGTTTTTGGCGAAACAACCGTTGACTTTAAACAGCTTTCCAAATTGGAAACTTTCAGAGTATAAAACATAAATGATTTCTTAAATTCCACAAAGCCCCGAAGGTCAAAAAACTTAGTTTGGAAAAGGTTGCCTACAACCTTGAACATCCTGCATGTATACATGCTCAATAAGTAGCCAGAAGTACATCAAATGAGATCAAATGAGCAGTCCTAAGTAGAGATCAAAGGCTTCAATTGTGCGCCTGAAGAGCAAGCCTTTATTACATCTTGGGTACACAGACTTTTCAATTGGGTTTTTAATAAGATATTTTACTGGTTTAGAATTATTTCAATTTTTTGCTGCTGCTAATGAAAAAAGTTAATCAGCAGATATTTATTAATTTTGAGGGCTTGTTCTCTTTTGAAACATTTCCACATACCTCACGTTGAGCCTAGAGTCACTACACTTAGAGAGTCTACAAACTGAGGAAGATGAGAGTGGAATTCTGTTTCTGCTTTCCAGGATTATGGGCTGTGTGTAAAGACAATAAGGGTGATTCTGCTCCAAGGTATAGCAAATTCTAAATCCTAAGGATGTCATGTGAGAGACTGAGCCCAACATGACAAAGACACGTAGAATTAAAGCTTGTTCCACTAAATTCAAATTTAATAATTTCAACATCCACATTGAGATGTTGAAACGGAGACTATCTACTAGTTCCTTTTTATCCTTTTAGATAATTCAATACAGTTTTAGCTTTCCAGTGACAATTAGTGAAGGCATGGAAGTTTGCATCTTACCTCTAAGCCCTCTCTTGGTTTTTGTCTTAGCATCAACCTCGGAGCTACCTTTCAGAGAGAACAGAGTTGATACAGAGCATCTTTCAGAACTGTGATTAATGGTGTATACCTTCATTATCTATCATTTTACCACCTTGAACCCACAACCTGACTTTAATTGTACCCTAGAAGAACACACCTCATGCTACAGTTCTGCAAGTTTTACCAAAAAAAGACTGTATTTCTGCTCTAATTACCATCACAACAGCTCCCATTATGGTTTGACCCTAGTAATTTAGTTATATTTATGCTGCTACAATGCACCAAATAGATAATAATGAATAGTGAAGCAGACTAAGGTTGAAGCAAACTATAATTATGCAGACCTAATGAAGTTACCAGAAAAGGCAGTATATAAAAAACATGCTCAGATAAAGAAAACACACACACACACACACACACACACACACACACATACACACACACACACACACACACACAGAGATTGAGAGAGAGAGAGAGAGAGAGAGAGAAAGAGATTATTTCTGATTCTTAAAGTTCTGCATTATGCTTAGGAATTCCTGGATACTTGACATGTGCTGTTCACGTCCTTTCTTGCTTTCTGGTCTGTGATTTTGGACTTACAGGTCACATTCCAAGCTTTCATCTTTCATTTCCAAGTGTCTACCTTTGTCAAATGAAGACAAAGGGTTTTCTATTGCTTATAGAGCAAACCAAATGGGATACTTATTTGGCAATCTGCTTTTGTGCTAAATATGGTAAATTAACATTTTAAAATCAAGGATTTTGTTCAAGATGTTGGCAATTAAATCTATCAAATGAGCCCATGGCTGGAGCTCCTTAAAATAACAGCTAACAAAGTTACAACACCTGCAAAATAAAGTCATAGCCAGTTAGCTACTCGGGACATAGTTGAACCAAAAATTGCTTTTGTGCAAGTTGATTAACAAGTAGTGTATGGTAGGAAAAAAGCAAACAAAGGGTTTGGTTATCAAGTGTTGACAATAGAAGTCCTCCTCTGGAAAGATTTAGATAAACTTTGGGAATCAGTGAGACAAGACTAAAAGAATCTCACTCGTCCAAGTGTTCAGAGGAAACTGAACACCCTTTTTAGCTCATTAACAGAGGTAACATATAGAAACAAATGCATGAAACTGCTTCATTATTTCATACAAATTTGTGATAATTATCATGGCACTTTTGCTGATTTTCATTTATTCCTAAGTAACCATCTGATAGAAATGGGAAAGCCAGAAGATGTGCAGATTCCCTAGAATGACTGACTCTGAGAGGAGGACGAAGGAGCTCCTTTGGGTTTCCTGTGTTTCACCTGGTTCTTATCGACTCTGATCTCTTGTAAACATAAAGCGCAGTCATTCTCATATCACATAGCATAACTTCTATAGTTATCAATTTCTAAGAAGAATGACATCGTTAATACAGAGCCGAGTCCTTGTTGTAAAAATCCCCCTAATGGTTTAGGGGTCATGTTAAATTATCTGTGACTATTCAGGTTCAAATGGCTTTAATTCTAAAATGTCCTTCTAAATAGATTTCTCTCATTCCCCTCATTGTTGAATAGTTCTCAACTATTTCATGCCCCAGTAGGCCCGCATTCCTATTTTAAGTGCATATCTGGGTAGCAGATTAAGAGAAAAAGGATAGAGGCAAAGTTAAAACTTGCCAAAAGAATTTTTTTTTAATTTGACAATTTTCCCCCTATGTCTCCTCATCAATGCATAACTAGAAATAAATCCTGGCCAAACTGCATTTTTATGCTCCCTAATGTATTTCATATCCACATCACTTGCTCTCTGTTATCTGCACTACTTCTTTGATCCATCAATTGCTTTTTTTTTTTACACCAGGTGAGTTGGTTTTTTAACCATAAAGGGATCCAGCTGTTCATCTGGGAGTCATCTAAGTATTCAGTATTAAGGGGTGGAGCTGCTGTCTTTTGCTTCACCTGCTATACTCTTTTCTATCTTTATAATTAGATTTCCTGATGAAAGTGAAGTTGCAGTGGGGACAGATGTTCTTAAAATTAAAAAAGCAAAAAAAAAAAAAAAAAAAAAAAAGGTTAAGGACCAGAGAAAGCACATAAACAGGGGGCCGATTCATATTATTAAAAATGAAGATTGTGTGCTTTGGATTTCATACATGTGTCTGATTACAATAAACTAAGATAAACCTCTGACTCAGAAAACTTCACTTTCTTGCAGGGATAAGAGAAAAGAAGTGGGCATCAGAGAGATGTGTCCCATTACTCTTAGTGAATATTCTCTACAGCTGCTTAAAGACAGATCAGGGATTCTTCAGGAAAGTATTCCTCGAGAACTCTTCAAGTAGTTACAGCAAAGAGAGTCTTCAGGTAGAGAAGGTTGAGAAATGTCAGTTCTTTCTTTCTTCTAATGCTCTGACCCGAATAGGATGGGTTTATCCTCAATCAGATTCTGATTGCTGTGCCATAAATAAAATACAATATAATGAAATAAAGTAAACAAAAATGAAGCAGAATAAAAGTCTTCTTGTGATCTTCCAATCACAACGTACAGATCTTAAGTATCAATCTTCTTCACCTATACACATTGGTCCCATCCATCAATTTTATCATGGAGTTGGCTTAAAACTGAGGATACATCTTGTCTTTCACTACACATGATGGATTCCAGATGTTCAGATTAAATAATGGTGCTCCCCTGTAGACATAATGGACCATAGCAGCAATGTAACTAGGCAAAATGAGCAAACCAGGCTCTGCAAATGATCTTAATTATTTCAACTGTGAGGGATAGAAAAGCACTGGGTAATACAACAAATAGTCCTTTGAAAGAGCAGAAAAAGTCCTGGTAATTTACATTTAAGTCAAACCTGCTCCCTGCAAAGTATAATGTGTGTGTAATAATTCAGGAAGAAATCTAACACTATACCATTTTCATAATTGGTATTCTATGTCAAGTTTCTAGCAGCAAGTAGCATATAAATCATAATGTTAATATTGGTCTGCTTTTCAATTTATTTAAATGATATTCTACGGTCAAAGATTTATTGCTAAAAAATATGAATGTGCTTTTACATCATTGAAGATGTATCTGTGTTTCCAGCATTTGAAAACGCAGTTACAAATGTCAGAATTTAGGTAAGTCAGATTTTACAGCATGTGCACACACACACACACAGAGAGAGAGAGAGGTATGGAAACAAGTCTATATCTTTATTTGTACTTTCCATGATTAAGAGAAAGTACAGATTATATTCTACTTGGTATAATATTACTTAAATACAATCTTCCAGGCCTGGGAAAATGAAGTAAAATTGAAGTTCATGTCAAGCTGGCCAAAAGGTGAGTTCTACCTCAGCAATCTTTTGTGGTTGTCTACTAAGCCATAAATTAATCTGTCCGAATCATTGACACTCATCCACAAAGCACAGGTGGCAGTCTCCTTTCAAACACACCAAAGAGAGCTAGATAAAAATAAATTGTGCTGCCATTAAAAACATGCCAAAATAATATTTTTCCCATCTGCTAAGTCCAGCCCCCGTGGTAAGTGAACTAACAGGTTTCTATGCTCACACTTGATGAACAGACACCACAAGCAATTAATTAACAGTATCACAACAGGAGTCAATTGGATTTCTCCCTTTTAAACATTTATCACAGCCATAAACAATACACACCCTGTATAACATTCAGCCTTGTGGGTCTTCAGATGTGGCTGCTCTAAAGCCCATTTCTATCTAAATATTTACAACAAAGTTGGTCTGCTGAACAGACGTATCAAGGGGGACTCTTTGTCCCAGGTTCCACACTGCCAAAGCCATGATCCACAGACTCCTCACAGCCTGGCTTGCCTCATTCTCCTGATACCCACACTACAAACAAGGACAATCCAAGGGCAAAGTCTATTTTTTGCATTTAACCAGTTAGTTAAAAATAAACTTTACAGTTTCCTTCCCATTAAAAATATGTGCCAGGCAAATATAAATGTATTAAGATATTACTGTGAAGAGCATTAGAAAATCTGAAAAGAGATGAGTCTTGGCACTGAAAAGCCATTAATTATCTTTAATCACATCATAAGTGCCTAGGAGAATATTAAACCTTTATAGAAATTAGTTGGCTTGTGGTTTAAGAAGAAGTTTGAATAAATAATTTAGAGAATAGGAAATTTAGCAAAGATAATACTCAAAAAAGGCCAGGAAAATGTTAGTAGTACATCCTTTCAAATTTCCAAGGGAGATACAACACTACCATTTAATTTGCTCAAAACTCTCAGAAATAAGTTAACTCCTAAAAGTATTTTTTAAAAGCCAGCATAACACTGAGTCTTCCTGACTTCTAAAGTGGAAAAATATCAAAATCAGGGCATTGGAGACAGTGGATAAAAACAAATACATTGATTCCTCTCTGTATTTATAGCTCTTCATTTTGAGTTGAGTCTCAGCAGGTAAATCTATAAGCAGAGGGAAGAAAGAGCATACATGCAAACAGCATGCCTATGGGCCATGACAAACAGAGACATGAGTTGCTGCTCAATTAAGTTGTGGTTGCTTTGGTAACCCATCTCAGGGAGGCCAGGCACTGGCAGAAAGAGGTTTCTAAGTTTTATCTCCCTTCTCTTGCCATCCCTTCCCTTCCCCTATTTCCCTCTCTTTCATTTCTTCCTTTTGCAGTCTGCATCTCTCTTTTCCTTCCTTTTCTAAGCCTTTGCTGGGATGCTACTAAATAAGAGATTTATCCTATAAGAACAATTCCCAACCATTCCCTTATGCCATGTATTTTCAATGGGGTACTTCCTTGAGTGGAAGCTCAACCCAGAGGAATTGCTTTCAGCAGATCTTAATTGCTGTTGTGCATACAGTCCCATACAATCATGTGCATACTCGAGATTTACTCAAATACCAAAATCTGTGAATGCTCAAGTCCCTTTTCTAAAATGGGTAACATTTGCCTATAACTTACCCTTATCCTCCTGTATACTTCAAATCATCTCTAGATTACTTCTAATACCTAGTACAATGTAAATGCTATGTAACTAGTTGTTATACTGTATTTCTTATTATTTGTGTTATTTTTGTTTTATTTTTTATTAATGTTTCTTCCTGAATATTTTTGATCTGCTGTTGGTTGACTCTGCAAATGCACAGCTCAGGAATACAGAGGGCTGGCTATATACCTTAAACCATATACATCAATCAATCAATCAATCTATCTATCTATCTCCATTTAAATCCAGTGTATTTTAATTAATTCCTTGAATATCTATAGCAGATTTTCCAAAGATGGCTGCAATAACATCTGCAGTGCCACATATTCTTCTAGAGCCTTGCCTTTCCCCCATCGAGAGAGGATGTCTAATTATCCCCTTGAATCTGATTTGCTGCTAAGCAGTAGAATATGGCAGAGGTAATACTGAGTGACTTTTAATTCCAGATCATGAAAAGGTTTTGCAGCTAGAATACTTGCTTTTGAAGACCACATAAGAATCCTGACCTCCCCAAGACTGCCAGGCAAAGAGGCCACATACAGTAGGCACTCTTATTAACAGCCTCAGCTGAATCTCAGCCAATAGTCATCACCAACTACCAGCCAGGTGAGAGAGCCTTCTCAAACATCCTGCCCAGTGGAGCTTCCAGATGGCTGGAGTCCCAGATAACGTCTACTGCAACCATATGTGAGACCCTGAGCTAGAGTTGCCTACCTAAGGTATTCCCAAATTCATGATCTACAAAATCATGAGCACGTTTTAAGTCCCCAAACTTTGGGATAATTTGTTACTCAGCAATGGTAACTAGAACATCCCTTAATATTTCAAGGGATGATTTCTCATTAGAGTTCACTGGAATAAAGCATATACAACTTGAGGGACAAAACTGTACAAGTTAAATATAATTATATTTTGTAGGAGTAAAGTTTTAGGTTTTGTATTCAAAGCATCTTCAACAACATCAAAGATACATATGCATGATAGCTATTTTTTTCCACTTTTTTTTCCTTTCCTTTCTTTTTTTTTTTTAAAGACAAGAACTTCCTCTGTCACCCAAGGTGGAGTGTAGTGGCATGATCTTGGTGCACTGCAGCCTCTAACTGCTAGTTTCAAGCAATCCTCCCACCTTAGCCTCCTTCTCACAGGAGTGAGTAGCTACTGAGGAGCTACTCACAGGTGTGAGCCACCATGCCCATACATTTCCTATTTTCAATTCAGCTCCACTTGTCTTTTATGGAGGAAACATTGTTTCCTATCCCCACAATACTCCTTCTACAGTTTGATTAATATCTTCTGACCTCCATTTAAGTCATCCTTCTATCTGAACTGGCTATATTCGTCTCTGAGAAAACACAAGGGAAAGAAGGAGATGGAAATACAAGAAAGGTAAAGAATTTCAGTGTTACTTGAGAATCCTCAGTTTGAATTTGAAGTAACTACCAAAAATAACCTTGGTAGTTTGTATTATCTAACATATTTTTATAATAAATAACTATAAGTTCAGTAAGTATACTATGGAGTTTTTAAGTATATAATTTACTTTACAAATGTTTTATTTAGAATGTTATTCACACATTAATTTCCATCTTTTTGGCAAATACCTTTGAGTATCTTCAGAAAATTTTTGAATATCTGAGCTTCTTACCATATATATATATATATACACATATATATGTATGTTTGTACATATATATTATATATTTATACATATAATATATGTGTATATTTACTTTTTAGCCAATTGTCTCAGTATATGGTCTTGAACTCAGGAAAATAATTGCATTAACTTTTGAGTTTGTTATTTTATTAGCTATAAGCTGTGAAGTAATCTATGATTCAGCTTGCTTTTACTTCTCTGCCCTTGTAGGGGGATGATCTAGCTGATGACAATCTGGCAAATTTATGTCTAGGGAGAATCAGTCCCACCCTGTGTGGGTGTTGGCTTGAATGGCTCTAGTCCCTCTGGTGCAAAGAGGTCTGGTCACCTCAGCAAGCAAGGAGGACAAACTGGAGCCAGCTAACATCCGTCAGGAACTCCACCACCAAAGGCATGATCTGGTGGGAAGAACTGAGTTCACTGTCAACTATACTAAATTGAAGGAAAAAATAATGTAAGTTAGGTCATCAACTTGGTCCCAATCGCAAGGAGAAAATTGCTAGTGGTAAAAAAGCACTAGAATCTGTCCTTTAATTGTGAAGTCATGTTAGCATATCTACACTAATGTTAGTTACTAGCAAGGCTAGCATGCACATTGTTCTGATTTGGAATAATAGATGGGGCGAAAATTGCATTTAGCCATTGAAAACTTCGGTGGAGTCTTCCTAGAGAAAGTGATCAGAGCCAGGGATCCAGAGTCTAACTGAGACCCTTAGTCATTTTACACTCTTGATTTATTCTTTTTCCAGTGGAAAGTAAGAGATTTTAAAGGACATTCTGATTCCCAAGAAACATCTTCATTCGTCTGGAATGCATTTGAACATGCAAGGTACTAACCTGTAAACTAAACAGATGTTTTTTTAGATTGAAGTCTTAATTATCCTTAAGCTAACAAATTCATTGGTGGAAAAAGAAAGGTACTTTTTTGTACAGCTAACATCTCTTGCAAAACAATGCTTTCTTGAGTTCAGTGTGCAAATCCATTAGAAACATAAACATTAAAGTTCCCCTTAAATACACATGTGGTCATATGGAAGAGGTGTTGATGTACATTTAGCCTTTTATCAAAGCTCTTGATACTAGAAAAAGAAGTATATATTGAGAAAATAAAAACTGATGTTGTAGTCACATTTTCAAACAAATGTGATGTATAGTGTGAACATGACAATATGTTTGGTATTTATTTCTACAGTTGGATTTGCCTTGAGTTCAGAAAGGGGGTAGCTAATGCACTAACGGTGTTTGATAAGTTACGGCTTAGGGTGTGATAATGTTTAGGCTTGAGAATTCTTATAGAGCTTCTGAAATGCTATACTTTTTAATTTGGAAGAGTTAAAATTTTATTTTAATATCAACAAAAACAATGTGTATATATAATATGTCTCTTTATCTAATCTACCTATTAATATCTAGATATCTCATTAGAGGACAAGACATCCTCATGTTAATGAAGGGAAGGCCTAGTGAATTGGCTAAGGTGAGGAGTCCTTCTCCTGCAGGCAAGAGTATATTTGCAAAGACAGGTCAGGTCTGAGTCACAATTTTTGGGTTGGTGGCAGGCTGATGAAGTCAATCCAGCTTCATGTTCTCCTGACTAAAATAAGATCTCGGTCAGAGCCCAGGCCCTGCATCTTTGCAGAGAACAGGCACAGACAGGCCAAGTAGTGTGAGGGGAGGCCTAATTTAAGCTCAAATCCT